CGGTGGGGGCGGAAACCAAACAAGCATCGGTCCTGCTTGTGGGACAGGTCTGCTGCCCCGCACCGGACCCGCTGTTGATAGAAAGCTGCCAGAAGCTGTCTGAGGTGCATTCAAGGCCGCCTGCCAGAGCTGGGGATGTGAAAGGTAGAGGTGTAACAAAACTTCTCATTCTTTTCGGTTGTAAGGTGTGGTATTAACATGGAATATCTCTAGAGGCCTGGCAGCCCTTTCCTTCACGCTGTGGGTTTACGAAGCCATTTGGTTTGGGGCGCCCGGGTGGCTCAGCCGGTTAAGTGTCTGATTCTTGATTTCGGCTCAGGTCACCATCTCAGGGTCATGGGATCAAACCCCATGTCGTCGGGCTCCACACTCAGTGGGGGGTCTGCTTCTCTCCCTCTCCCTCTGCTCCCCCCTCCCCCACACTTGCACGCATGCTCTCTCAATGTGCGCTCTCTCTCTCAAATAAATGGATAAATGTTAAAAAAATAAAATAAAGAAGCCATTTGGTTTTACTTTTCCCAGTACAGTTCCCTTGACATCTTAACTTGAACAACAAATACAGAGACTTTAGGGCGGCAGGAGGTCGGGGTTGATTAACAGCTCTAAGCTGCCTTCTCAGCTGCACTCCTATCATCATTTGAAGCTGCACCTTCTCCTCTCCTCTCTAACCATTCTTTCAAAAGCAGACTACAAAGAGCACCAGTTTACTTTGGGACATTTGACGGGCCTTGTGGGTGGCCTTTGGGTTTGATGCAGTGTGAGTTTGGAGGCCTTGACTTTGAGTGTATTGCTAACCCAGTGAGGAAGATGATGAGTGCCGGTGTGAGGGGCCTCGCCGTGAACCCCACCCACCCTGTGCCTCTTCCTGGCTCTCTGACTTCGAGCAAGTCACCTAATCTCCGTGAAGCTGTCGCAAGATGTTGAGGAGTGAAAAGCCAAGACTCTGGTCTGTGTACTGGATTTTTTTTTACACTGTGCCTTCATCCACTCGGGCTGCTATAACCAAATACCACAGACTGGGTGGCTTATAAACAATAGAAATTTATTTCTCACACTTCTGGAGGCTGGTAGTGCAAGATCAAGGTGCCAGCATGGTCGGGTTCTGTGTCTGCTGAGAGCCAGCTTCCCAGTTCCTAAATAGCCATCTTCTTTATGTGTCCTCACATGATGGGAGGGGCAGGGAACTCTGTGGGGTCTCTTTTATAGGAGCACTGATCCCACTCACAGGGGCTTCTCCCTCACGACCTGATTACCTCCCAGAGGCCCCACCACTGAACACCATCACACTGGGAGTTAGGATCCCAGCATGTAACCAGTGGAGGGGGGAGCATAAACATTCAGATCATAGCACACTGCATAATAACATATGTTTTTATTAGTATCACCTTGCATCGAGCGGTTATTGCTTTTCTACCATTTTATTTCAGATGTGTAAGTACTCACTTGGGCTCTTAATTAAAATTAAAAAGAGAAAAGACTGTTCTTTTGGCAGTCACAGATGTTATTATTTTCTTTATGAAATGGAATATATTGGTATTTTAGAAAATACCGAATCACTGACCACATCCTCTGAATTTGACCAAAGTTCTAGAGGGAATTTGAGCAAAGGGAGAACACTCCCAAAGAAATGAATTTTGCAGATGTAAAGGAAGAGGTTTCCTACTCTTAGAAGTTTTTATTAGATGAAGATGTATCATAGTTGAAAATTGGAAGTGGTGTGAATTCTGTGAAACATTGCTTGTCCTTATAAAAGCATACGGGCCCGACCTTGGCCACTGAGAGCGCCTGCAGTATCAAGGGGCTTCTCTGCGCTTGGTGAGCCAGTGCAGACTTGAGAATTGGGGGAGGTGGGTTTGAACCCTGGCAGCTCTGCCAGATCTTAGCTCGTCATCTTGGGCCACTTAGTTCATCTCTCTGAGGCTCAGGTGTTTCATTATAAAATCTCAGAAGGTTATGCTTATCCCATTAAGCTGTTGAGAGGATTCCGGGAGGTAACAAATGCAAAGCATGCAGCCAGACCCTGGCACCTAGTAGGTGCTTGATACATCGAACTATTTTAATATACTCTTTATACTATATAATTATATAATCAAATAATATATACTATATAAAATGTCTATATAGGGTTATATTTGCATAATACATAATAATCCTTTTGTATGATTATGTATTCTTACATAATATAATAATAATATACAATATTGGTAGCATAACATATAATGTATACTTATATAATATATATAACTATTTTTAAATAACAGTATTCTTGGGGTGCCTGGGTGGCTCAGTCGTTAAGCGTCTGCCTTCGGCTCAGGTCATGATCCCAGGGTCCTGGGATCGAGCCCCACATCGGGCTTCCTGCTCGGCGGGAAGCCTGCTTCTCCCTCTCCCACTCCCCCTGCTTGTGTTCCCTCTGTCGCTGTGTCTCCCTCTGTCAAATAAATAAATAAAATCTTTAAAAATAAATAAATAAATAACAGTATTCTCTCTGAAATACTAGGACTTCAAGATCACGTTCCCTAGTAGCTTTCACACTTTTTTAACAGTGGAATCTTTTTCCCTTTCCTTTCCTGCAAAGGACATCTGTGCATCTCAGACATCTCCTGTCTGAGACAGAGCAAAGAGGAGGTGCTTGCTGAAGCAGGGGTGAGGGTCCCCAAGCCCAGACAGGCTCTCCCTTTAGCTGCTCCTGCTCCCCACACCAGGACACCCTCGGAACAGAGTGGAAACAGCTGTTTTAGGCCAATCTGCTTTCTCTTCGAGGTCTCAGAGCCACTTGGGTAGAGCTCAAAGTGCAGGTCCGTGGCCTTGACGTTGAACTGTTGTTCTCCGAGGGGCTCTGCAGTGTCTGCTGGTGGGATGAATTACGGGGCTGCTGATCCCCCTCCTTGAGGGGATTTGGGGCCTAATCATAGAACCTGGTGCCTTGACAGGCTGCTGACTCAATCCCTGGGTTTACTGGTGGCCACACTTAAGCTTTATTGCTACTAAAAGCCACAAGGAAGTCACAACACCTAAGTATAAAGCTGGGGCTGACGTGCGTAGCGGCTCGCATCACCGCCTGAACACTGGCTGTGTGTGTCTGTGCTTCTGTGGCTGTTTGATTAGCTTTGATTTTCAAGCAATTGAAAAAGTTTTGTTCCATGTAGTGGAGTTTCATTTCTCCATATGGGTGTCAGTGTCAGATGATGATCTATTTGCTGTACTTGTCAGAGCAGTAGACCTGGTTAGCAGAGGGGCTGGTCATTGACTGTTCGAGAGAAATCCGATTTCTCTGGCCCCGGGTTTTTTGTCTGAGAATGATGAAACCCTTTTCTGCCGACTTCATCAGCCTTTGTGGGTTGTTGGTTGTGACATTAAATGAGATGTATTGGAGAGCCTTTTATCAGAAGATGAATACAGGGAGACATTATTATGTAAATGAGTCTCAATTTTCTCTGCAAGAAAAGTTGGGCCACTTCTTTGGCTGATGTGCTACGAGATGGATGACCTTCTATTTCTGCCTTCCGTTAGAGACTCTTGGTTCTCTGTAAAACAGCTGAAAAGGGAAAACACGTGGCCCGGCCATGTTGGGATGTAGGGGGGTCACCCTGAAATGTGTGGGGACCCATGATGCGCCTGCATCCACTCCACGGGAGAGGACTCACCACCAGTTTTCATAAATGTATCATTTGTAGCCAGTGCAGTCACAGCGATGCTCTTGAGCCCTGAGGCCTGATTCCAGAGGGTAGGAATGGGTTCCTGCGTGTTTTATTTGTCCTTCTCTTATTCCAAGGTCTGGGGTTAGAGTACCAGAGTTGGTGAATTCTTGACTTTGTCTCCCATGAGTATGCAGATTCAGCATTGTCCTGACAATCAGACCAATCACTGCAAACATTACATGCCAGACGCCCTCCCAAGTAAGCCTTCTCCTGACATTTTCTTGTTAAATGGGGGAATCATTAAACTGAGGTGTAAAGAGTTGAAGTGACTTGCCCAGGGTCCCGCTGTAATGCTGGAGTGTCACTGGCACTCACCAACCTGCCAGGATGCTTTTGTGAGTGGAAAATTGGGAGTTTGGGCTGGCCGCTAAGGATCCCGATTCCCTGGTCACAGTTTAGCCCCAGGACCCGTGTAATGGCGGAGCTGGAACCTGAAAGGCCTGCTAATGGCTTTCCAGAGAAGGAGTTCATGCCATTTCTGGACCAAAGTATTCCAACCTCCTTAGCCCTGAGGGCTTCCAACGCTCACGACCTAGGTCGGGGAGGTGAGACAAAGGGTGTGCTGTAGGAGGCCGCCTGCTCCGTGCGGGCCGGAGGCAAGCCTTGGTTTGGTCAGCACTCCGCTTCCACCGCCCACACCAGGCCTTGTGTGCACAGGGGCGGACTGGCCGGAAGGAGAGACGGAGGGAGGGAGGAAGTTTGGATGGATGGAAGGAAGGATGAGTGGATGTTTGGATTGAAGGAAAGAATTGAAGAGGTGCATGGTAGGGGCAGAGAGAGAGAGAAATTAGAGCTGGAATGAGATAAAAGAAAGATAGAGGAGTTTTATATGAGGCATCATTATTGCATTGTTCACAACTTCTCGCTGTTTCCCATATGTTCGTGCACACACGTCATTCATATGTTTATTCAATAGACATTTTTGACCACTAACCCAGATGCGGCGGATAAACGAATAAGACATGATCCTCCTCTCAGAGAGGAGTTTAAAATCTCAGGAAATTACTTAAGCCACTCTTGGTTGCCTAATCATTAATAGAGGTCGTGGGAATCCTGATTCGCAAGTCCTCACCTGCATTGGATGTTCCTGGAGCAAAGGAAGTCGTCCACCGGTCACGTCTCATCTCTGCGTATATACTCACAAGCCAGGAAGGTTTTGTGGGATCTTTATTTTTCTTTGCCAAAGCAATGTGTTTAACTGTTTCCCACCTTTCTGTAAAGCTTCTGAGTTTTTCACTGTTGTTCAGTGTATTGTTAGGCTCTCGCATGGAATGACTCTGATTTTTCTTTTTTAACCAGGATTGATCGTAAGATGTCAAGTGCTCACACCAACTACAAACTGGATGAGGCCCAGGCGATAATGAGTGAGCTCCGGACCATCAAGAAAGCCATTTGCACAGGAGAGAAGGAGAGGCGGGACCTGATGCAGGTAGGGGCCTGGTACTCTTCACATCCCGTGTCCGTTCGTTTGCCTGCCTGCGTGTCCATCTGTCGGTTAACATTTTAGGAAAATATGTGTTTACAGTATATAATATATATTTGTTATGTATACAGTTCATATATATTTTAAAACATATGTCCATGCCATACGTGTATATATGTTCTTTATGTGTGTGTATATTTCTGCATATGTGTATTAAAATATTTGAAAGTATGGGTGTTAGTTTCCTAGGGCTGCCATGACAAAGTACCACAAGCGGGTAGAGAACAACTGAAATCGATTCTCTCAGAGTCTGGAGGCCAGGAGTTCAGAGTCAAGGTGCTGACAGGGCCACGCTGTCTCTGATGGCGCTAGGGGTGGACCCTTCCTCGCCTCTTCCAGCTTCTGGGAGCTGCTGCCGATCCTTGGCATTCTTTGGCTCGTAGATGCCCCGCTCTAATCTCTGCCATGTCATCGTATGGTGTTCTCCCTGGGTCTCTGTGTCTACATTTTCTCTTATAAGGATGCCAACCACTGGATTCGAACCCACTCTAATTCAGTATGACCTCACCTTAACTTGATTCCATCTGCAAGGACTCTGTTTCCAAAGAAGCTCACATTCACCGATTCTTAGGACTTGAACATATCATTGGGGAGGACACAGTGTAAGCCGTAACGATGGGTGATACAGATTGTTCAATAATCAAAACAACTTAAAAAGTCTATGATGAGAAGTCTTGCTACCACCCCATTCTGTCCTGCCCTGTAACTACTTTTATTAGCTTCTTGTATACCCTGCCAGCATTTTTGCAGACACAGGAGAGGGTGGTGAGCACATGTTCAGCTGTCCCCACAGAAAGCTAGGGCTGTGCCTGCCACTCTTCTGCCCCGGCTTCCTCGCGGGACAGTAACACCCCATCCCCTTTTCTGGATCTGTGCACAATGAGCTGCTTCATTCCTTGATATGGCTGCAAAGTGGTCTGCGTGGATAGATTTTAGTTATATGGCTGGGATCGTTGGAGCTTTATACTGCTTTATTTTTTTGTCCCTTGAACTTCTGTAGATTTTCTTGTACTTAGAAAAAGCTTGAGTTTTTGCAGATGGATGCGCACTGGTCTTTCTGCTTGGTCCTGGGGTGCATTCAGATGTTTCTGTTACGGCTTTCATTTTTTGCTCAACACACTGAGTGCGTGGCAGGCATGTGTCTAGATTCTGCAGAATGTAAGGATAGAAGCACGTCTGAAGCAGAGCTCGGACCTGTGGGCCAGATGAGACAGGTGCACACATAACTGCCTTGCACGGCAGCGCTCCCGAAGGTCAAGGATTCAGGAGACTTGTGGAGTGTCCCCACAGTGGTCATTCAATTGCCCCTTACTGGGCCCTACCCCAGGCCTGCTAGATTAGGCTCTGGAGGCATGACCCACCAACCTGTATTTTCAGATGCACTCCCAGGTCATGAGAGGTACATGGTGGCAGGAACAGCTCCCGCCATTTCCTGGAACCTCTGAGTGCAGCGTTGGACGAGGTGCAGTGTGGACATGCCGCATCTAATCGAAACCCCAACCCCCGGGGGTGAACCAGGTGGGGTATTCCATCATGGGGGCTTGGAGGCCTTGCCCCAGGACGTTGAGCTGATTTCTCTGACCCGGCCTTTCCCAGTGTGCCAGGCTGGGGCAAGCCACCCACTTGCCTCAAGTGGGTTCCCCACCACAGTGGTGGAGATGGAATTTCTGTAAGAAACTTCAGACCCCAGCATCCTCTCTGAGAAGCACCAGGGAGAGGCCTGGGCAACGTCCTCTCTAGCAAAATCAAAGAAGTTGTTCTGTGTTTTATGACCTTAACAATATTGGCCCATTCCAGCATGCCTTCGTCTGGATCCAGAGCCAGCTACCCGTGTCTGCTGGAGAGAAATACATTCAAAAGTCTTCTAAAAAACTGGAGAAAAATCTCATTTCTTTTTGACTTCCACCTAAAGGAGTTACGTACACCAGAAGACATAGTTGCTCTAGTTTTGGGCAAACTAACATCCGTATGAGATGACTCTTGACCATGTAGAATTATGACTGAAAAATCAGGTTATAAAAATATGTAAACCTCATCTGGGAGTGGTTTTCCTTCTGTGTGGTTTATAAAAATCTCAAGGCAACATTCATCTCTGTCAGACTCATTTATTGATACAACATTTTGGATGGCAGTGCTCCCCCCCCATTTTATTGAGGTACAGTTGACAGATAAAATTTTATAAAGTTAAGGTGTATAACCTGGTGACTTGATATACACACGTAAGGTGGAATGATTAGCACGATAAAGTTAGTTAACGCATCCATCACCTCACGTGGGTACCTTGTTTTTTGTGTGTGTGATGAAAACTTTTAAGATCTACTTTCTTAGCAGCTTTCAGATACGCAACACAATATTGCTAAGCATGGTGCTGTGCATTCCGGCCCTGCAGCTTACTCATCTTCTAACCCGAAGTCTGTGCCCTTTGACCCCTCAGCCCCTGGCGACCACCATACCACTCTGTTTCTCTGAGTTTGGCTTTTTTGGAGGGAATGCTTGTTTTTTTCTTTTTTCTTTTTTTTTAGGATTTTATTTATTCATTTGAGATAGAGAGAGAGAGAGAATGCATGAGCAGGGAGAGAGGCAGAGGGAGAGGGAGAAGCAGGCTCCTCGCTGATCCAGGAGCCCGATGTGGGGCTCGATCCCAGGACCCTGGGATCATGACCTGAGTTGAAGGCAGACGCTTAACGACTGAGCCACCCAGGTGCCCTATAGAACTGGTTTTTAAAGAGCTATCCGAACTGCTCAAATTCACTTCGGATGTAGTTCTAGTTGAGGCTATTAAACAATCTTGCTGTGTAAGCCACTTGATGACTTTGAGCCATCCTCTCTGTTACAAAGGCAGGAAATGATTTTGAGCTAGTTTCTAGCTGTTGGCACCTAGTTACCTGAATGACAGTCACCCTTCAGTAGCCAGATCAAAGGAGTCAAGGAAAGATGCTGGCGCTGCAGATGGGTCCTCTGAGCACGTGAAGTTACTGTCAGTGACCCGGAGGCAGGTCACACCAGCGTGGGGTGGCTGCAGATGAAGACAGGGGAACGCCCCACCAGCTAGGGCA